AAACCGCAGTAATTTGTTAACCAATCAGACCTCTGTTAATGTCTAGTGGAGCGGATCGGGACTGTAGAGAGAATTTGTATTTAAATGGCAAGCCTGTTATTTCACCAACTGACCAGGCGTGGCTTTCACTGTCTATGAGAATACAGGCTAAATTTATTGTATATAATTCTCAAATTTAGCTTGGGCCTCTGTCAGAAATTGCCAAATATTTCTAAGAGAAAATATCACGATGAACAAGTGTACAATTTCGGATAAGACTTTTTGATTGTGGTATGAGATATAGAACTAATTTCTAAATGTGGAGTAATAATATATAATATTCCGTTGAAATATCTTGGCATTTACAAATATGTCTATCATTAAATACTTTTATGATATGAGGTTACCTAGGGGTTCAATACTGACTCTGCTACTCGTATGTAAATGAAGTATGGTCTATAAATACTGCACTTGTAGATACTTGTAAAGATGCTGTGCACTTTATTATGTGCTGAAAGATAGAAAGATGTACGGACAGAAGATGGTTGTGTGCTCCGGACTCAATGTACTTCGGACCACACCTAAATTACTCTCCTATCACCCTTGCAGGTTTACACCATACTAATCCCACCAATCATAGCGCGGCTATTCCTGTTTGTCCAGCAGTCTACAATAACATCCTTATTAAGCGCCATAGCATAACGTTTGTGCGTCTATGCATAAACAATTCTGAGCTATTCCTAGATCACAACAAATACACATTCCCGAGAGTTTGGTGATCCCGAACTCCCAGTGATCTGGTAACAATCAGCCACTCAATTATCGCAAGGTAGCATTTCCCAGCCAGTGTATTACTTGTGCCACTGAATCTGATGTCACACAGCGAAGTTTAGCCACTTGCAATCGAATAAAGCTAATTGATCTAGATGATCATACCTAGAAATATAAACCTTCATACCTACTAAATCTAGGTTTCGAATAATCTCTCATATAAATTCTAGAAGTCTTCCATAGTCATAGACTCAGATATGTATATAATATAAATCTAATCTAAAACCTAATGTAATCCATATATCCGCTTCGATCCTGTTTGAATGCTCATGCAACTAATTGATCAGTGCGAAGGACATGAGCTCTGGTACATTACAGGTAATTAGTTGCTTGTCAAAGTTAGAGCAACCGTTGATCTAGGAAGCAAAAGTATGTGATTCTCTTTTGATTACTGTTGGCAGTGGCCCTTCGTTCGAGAAAGCAATGATAGCAAAAAAGATGTCTGCAATTCGCTAAATCAAATTTAGACGTCTCCCGTGGTGCCACGGTGTCAAGTTTGTAGTGGGGGCTTTAGCAGGGGTTTTAGCGTGTAATTTAAGACGCCTTAGGCATAGTCACCTTCCATATTGGAGTTAGCCCCCGTATTTGTGCAAATTTTTAAAAAATTTTGTATGGCAGTTTTTATCTGGACACTATAGTTGGTAGTGGGTCTTTCCTTCGTACTAACTCTAATTTGTATAATGATCGGCTGCATAACATTTGTGCATTTTTGCTACTTGACTTTATAACTTATTTACAAGAGTTCAAAAGTTTTCAAAATTCAAAATAGAGCCAGTCTTATTCTAACCTTGGATCTGAACTTTTGGCTGGAATATTTTCAGGCCTTAACATCTGGTTGCTCCCCCATCCGCATCTATCAAAGCCTGACATCTTTCTGGCATACTCTGAGTTAGTCTCACAAGATCTTCGGAAGACACGGAATCCCATGCCTCCTTTACAACCTTGCAAAGACTATCTTGAGCTTGCTGCTTTCCGCAACCCAGATTCGGATGATGACGCTGGATGTAATCCTTCATCCTATTCCGAACAGCTTCAATTGGGTTAAGATCAGGCGAGTTGGCCGGCCAGAAAATCGGTTGAATGAGCCTCTGGCTTATATCTTCCATTGTAATTGCGGCTGTGTGGGCAGGAGCATTATCCTGCATTACGGAAAGCCAAGGTCTCATCAAGACCATGCCATCAATAAGAGGAACTATCTTTTCGCAATATTTTTGGGAGTTAATGGAACTCCATTCCGTCTCCCAAAACAAACAAGGGCCTTTTTCTGGCCCTGCGAAGCAACCCCAGAACATCCATCCGACCCTCTTCTTCGATTTTTCTCCAACACAATCAGCGTTGTGTTCTTGGGAAGTCTAGCTCATAATGTTAGAGCATCAAATTACCATCTTCTTATTGAGGAATGTACGAACACTTCTTGTCACCCATTTTCTAGAATGTCTTCCATCCTCTACCCAAGTTTCGTCTGTCCATAAAACTGACGTCCCGTCTTTATGTGTCCAATTGAGATGAGCTTCGGCCCATTCTCTGCGTATCTTCATAGTTTTCTGAGATACTGGAGGCTTTAGACGAGCCACATGTCGCTGATATCCTTTTTTTTAAGTTCTCTTTGTATTACCCGCTCTCTAACACCAAGATGTCTAAAGGGGCCAGAGGCGAGTTCCAGAAATGTTTTCCGGCGGTTTCCAGGTGAAGACTCAACGTGAGAAATAATCTGATCAACATCATCTGGTTTCAGCCTTGAGGATGTTCTTTTTCTCTTTTTGGGGTAGACAGTTCCGCGGGGCAATGAATAACTAACTTGTCCCCGAGAAATGCCTGGTTGCGCGGCAATCTGCGTCTGGTTTTTGCCAGATTCATGAAGCCCATAAATCTTAATTTTTCTTTTAATTTATATTCGTTTATATCTAACTTTTCCACTTACTAAAATGTTTTGATCTCTGGATAATTGTTTGATTCGAGGTGTTGAAGGTGGGGTTTGAGGGGGATTCATCTGTAAAATAAGGTTATTTTAGAGTAAAGCCATGTGTCTTCTGAATAAATAACTTTTTATTTGAGAAATCTAATTCTTATTGTGACTCAAGCACAAAGTTTTTTTTGTTTTTTTGGTTTGTTCATTAACGTACTAGGTTACATGACTACCGTTGCACTCCTATTGGAGCTTAAGCACGTGTGGGGTTGGGCCGGATCAGGTTAACTACCGTGAAGTACAGATAAACCTCGTCCCACTTTGATGACCGGACCACCTCAGACTTCACCTATGTGTTGAATCATACCAAGCCTAACCGTCCAGAAACCCGCTGTATACACGCCGTAGCGCGAGTTCCTCCTCAGCCTTAACTACCACGCGCCCGAGCCCTTGACATCCTCATTGACTCCGAAATATAAATGCCGTCCAAGATTTCATTGTTGCTTTAGCCTTGCACCTTCATATCGTACCGTTGGGTTGTTTTCGTCATTGGGGATTTGTGTAATCCCCTCGATTAATCTTCCCTTTTCTTCCTCCTTTGTACACGTCCCGTTTCCATCATGACTTTCCTCATTAGGGCGTGTGTAGGTAGCTGATCGGACGGGTATGGAGGTAGGTCGCAGGTGTAGGATCGATTGAGAAATGCTTCGTCGCAAGTATAAAAGAAGTTTAAGAGATGTCGGATATTTGAATACGACCCCCAGATAGACCTAGGCCCATTCGTGAATCGTATGTTGGTGGTGATGACTTTTTGTTCGACGTTGTTCCGGCTGTAAAATCTCTGCCGACTGATTTTCCGACCAAAATATCGAGTGCAGCTCCTTCAAGTCGAAAATCCATCAATTAAAATTCATCCCACCCATTTTCGTGACTGAATCTCGGCTCTGGCAGAATATTTCACTCCCAAGTTCGTAGAGGACACCACTGACAGGTGTTCAGCCTTCGTCCTCCACTGAAGCACAAAGTGAGAAGAGCTGTGTAATTTTTAGCGGTCGGCGCTGATCAAAGCAATGGGAAAGAACTAGAGAGCGGGTTGGATTTGCATAAAACTGAGGGTGACATGAAAACAAATTGTGCCCTTGGTTTAGGCCTGGAAATACAGGACAAGAATTATGTACCCTGTCGAAATTGGAGCTAACAGGGGTTCAAACCCTGTAGCGAATATGCGCCCCTTATAAATCCAGTGAAAACTTGAAATCGTGGCACCACGGTAGTCTAGTAGGGCCAGGGCAACGATGTTTATCCCTGCACACAATATTTACAATGGTACCATTTTAGTACATTTTAATTTTTCTTTTGTCAGAAGCCTCCATGGAAAAGTTAGCCGAATTCTATGAGCACAACCAGAGCTAAAAAGCTATGTAACATGGCCAGTATTTAAAAGATCCCTCAGTTAGAAAGAGAGGCTAGGAACATTGTACACGATATAGCTTGGGTCAGGGAGTTTGCCAGACTATCTTTGATGCAAGTAGTAAAATAACTCAATTACTCTACTAACCCGAGCTGCTCACACCCATCTCGTGGTTACAGCTCATTTCCGAGACAATCTATCAGCCCCATGTTCGAAATTTATATACATGACAAGGAAGTCCGTAGACACGATCCCAGCGTGAAGATGTTGTTGTGGCCGACTCATACCGTACGCTAAGTTTCAGCTCTTTTTGCCTGAGATGGACTCAGGAGCGACAAGTTGACGGTGATAAGATAGAAATTTCAAATTCGCTGTATTCAGATTGAATAAACTCGCACCCATGGAACTAGAGACAGCTCAGCGTGCGCAGCAGCCACGATGCACGAGAAACTGATGCAACTGTCCATGAAAGACGATAATACCCTTCGCTTCAGACACGAATCAGTTTCCATCTGCGCGTAGGCTCAAATCGAGCATATGTCAGGAGACACCAAGAGGAAGATAGGTCGGGTGTCCTGTCCAAACATGGCTTTAATTTCTTCGAGGCCCGTCAATCTAGAAATGTGGCACCAACAAGTTCCTACGGGTCATCCTTTCAACATACCCCCTCTCCAACAACAGGGAGCAAAACGGCGTCTGAGGTTTGTAACGCCAAGCCAAGGAGGTTCCAATAATTAGAGATTGTCCTTTAAGTACAGCCAGTCAAACCACTTGTAGATTCTCTATTCTAAAAACCTCTCAAGCAATCTAGGCGACCTACACTCATTTCTTTGTCTCACGAACTTTCTTCAGGGGCCCGATCTTTTCGGTACCATGAATTTCGGCATAGTTATTCTTTTTTTCGGCCTACCTTTTGCGTCTTCAATGTTAAGGAGGCTGCCAGTACCAGCTTGTCGAGCTACCGGTATCACGGCGTATTGTCACAATATCAAATTTGATTCTTATAGGATAGAAGCTGCGATGAATAAGGCAATGGAAATTTACCGTAATTTTCTACCAGAATCTAGGGCAAAGGAAAACTTATTCTATATTGGGCATTCTGCAGAAAATGGTCATGAGTTTTGTTACCCCTTGACCATGACTAAGAAAGAAATAAAGAAAAGTATGAGTATTCTCCATTTAAATCAATTCGCAATGAGTTTTTAAGCTCGCTGATCACAAATAGCTCCTGGAATCCAGGCGTACGTGTACTTCAACCAAGTCTGCCGCTTTATGACAGTCATGGAAATGTTTACTAATGGACAATTTCCTACACATACTGATTGTGATATTACGCGAAACTAGTGTTTGAATCTGCATTTAAATGGACAACTCAATAGCTTTGTGATGGAAAGGTCAATATTTAGTATTAGTGCCCTTCTGGATATGTTGGTACTGAGGATCTAGATTGCGAAAAGGGAGTTTCATCATAGCTCGGGGAGCCTTAAATATCGAGGTACATAAAGCCTCAAAGTTATCGTTATAATCTGTCAATAGATTTCAGCTCTATGCAGATTCATGCACACAAGTTTCTCATGCAATTCTAAGGACATAGAAATGAGGACAACCCATTATCATTGTGTAATGGAATGGAATGTCATGGACTGGACTGGATAGTGTAGATTCATGATACGGATATCTGGGACATGTATATCATGGGGTCCATATCCTTACGGTAGTGTACTGAAACTAGTAATTTAAATTACAAGCGTTCTTCAATTAACATAAGTCTTCTTGATACCTACGTTGGTGTTATATTAGCACATATCGCAACCTTCCAAGGTCGAGATTCATCCCTTTTACGCTCATAATCCTACCAAATATTTGCTCATTTACCTGACAGCTGTCATATACCTCGGTGCTCTTATTCCTCATGGAAGCGGGAAAAAATCAGCCCTACAGTTAATGGCTATCAATTCTCCTCTGAAGCTTGCTCCACTGAGTACGTCTTCAAGCTCATGATTTCCCTCACACTTTCTCTCAAACCGACCAGTTCTGATGCGGATAAGGGACTAATCTTACATGACTGCCCAAACCCACGTCAAATTTGACGCTCCTCTCTCAACTGATTAATCTGTCAGCATGAGCTCTTGAGCTTAGTCATATCCTGCAAGTGTGGGCGTGTTTGAGGAAAAGAGCATCACCAAAGGCAAAAGCTAATGAGAGAAGAGTGGATTGGTTACTTGGATGGTTGTGTAGAATGGAATTTAACGCCAGATCAAAAGGAATAAAGATGTTATAAGTGAGAGTAATTGGCACAATCAGTGTGGCCACGTTGTTGATACACACGTGACTACAAAATGTGTACTTAGTTTCACCTCCGTAATCTCTTGGACGAATACACTCTACAACCTCAAGGACTCAGTGTAGGGCTAGGACTCTGCCAATGCACGAAAGCAATGCCACGATTAAATACTTATGTTTTTTATGAGGAATTTAGTCGCGGGAAGCTACGGCGCTCTATAACTACAATGCCTGTTCCAGATTCCCTAGCCCGGGGGGACTATTCTCAACACCTGTCAGCGGTGTCTCCTACGAACCTCCAGCTCTCACTGTAGAGTCTGCAGAGCCGAGATTGAGTAACAAAGTCTTCACTTCGACGAGGATTCCCAACCGCTTTCGCGGTCTGTATCGTCTTCATCTCTCAACACATCCCCCTATCACCGTTATCATGAAACTAACCACGATCAGATCAGATGGTAGGGTCGGAGCCCTACTCATCACTAACTCTTGATCATGGAGGAGATGCCATACGATAAGTTTCCGGGGCGTACCCAGCACCCGATACGGAGATGGTGGATTGGATCAAGTCGGCCTCGACTGTTACAAAGAAGGGAGATATAGATGAATATGCGCACCTCATGTGATCCCGGTGTCTAGGCCTCGCCTGGCTGGGGCTGCAGGTTTTTTGAGACTTTTTCCCGCGCACGCAGTTTCCATTGCTACCATTATTATTATTTATTTTTGGGTAGAAGGTTCCGTGGAAAAGGTGACCGAATGCCACGGGTAAACACTGAGCTGAATGGCTATTCATCAAGGGGAATATACCAATGATCTTTAAAGTAACAAGAGAGGATAGGAGCACTGTACAAGGTGTGGCCTGGGTCAGAGAGGAGCCCAATGTGCTAGATAGTTATAGACTCAAGTAGTACAATTAAATACACACACACAATTTTTTGAAATTCTAATTTTCGAATATTCACCCTTTCCCCCTCTCCCTTTCTCTCTCGATATCGTGATATCGTACGCCCTTAATTCAAAATTGGTGAGCGACTGGCAGGCTACCAATATGCCCCCAGTTCGCAGTAATCCATCGCGGGCGAAAGACATCGTAGATAACCGTAAGCACCTCAAACACGTTGCTCGACAGAAAGCAAGCGTCAAGTTGGGCCCACTGACTGCCGTTCAAGAGATGAACATCGACCAATTAACCGACGAAAGTACCATAGATTGCGATATGATAGATGTTGGCAACTTTGACATTGACAAGATTCTTAAGAATCTGAAAAGACTACCCGACTCAATTCACTCCAAGCCAGATGTGACCGGAGCTAAAAATGCAGCGACGAGTCGCAACAATTTAGGGACAGCGACTACCGAACAGCACATTCTTCCTCTCATTGCAGTCGCTGTGCCGGCTATGAGGCGGGCTGTGATTGCAGATGCTAACAAGGCAAAAGGTGCAGCATCTACCCCGAACCCCCTGGAACATACACCAGGAACCACAGAAGAGAATCCTTCTCATCACAGTGGAAATGAAGACAGGCAGACGGAGGAATGCCCCCCCGAACTCAGAGCCTTAATTGAGGCTGAGGAACGCCGGGCCGCAAAAACTGCGGAAAATGTAAAAATTTGCACCGCTGCAGTAAACGATGTCGAGAATGCTCTCTCCCCTCTATCCAAAGGGTCGAGTGTTCAATTTATAGACTCTATGAAAGTCTACATTAGAGCTGCAATAGCTCAATTCATGATATTGGGACCGGGTACAGTCCTCCCAGTACTTCCCTCGCGCCCTGAAACCCAGGCTACTGGCAGCAAGATTATAGAACGTGCCGCCAAAAAGCAAGATGAGCCACAAAGTAAAGTGAATTATGACAAAGTCTCCCAGGCCAAAACCACTTGGGCTTCAATCACCCGCACCGGTATAAAGACTCCCCCGGCAGCTACAAAAGTCGCGCAGGCTATGCCAAAGGCGGCAAACTCGACGCGACCTTCAAAAAACCCGACCATCCCAACGCAATCAGGCACCAAAGATGAACGCTTGTTTCTTCGCCTTGGAAATGAACACCCTTGGAGAAAGCTATCACCGTTTGGTGTTAGAGAGGCTGTGGCAAAAGTGCTTGAAATTCCTCAAGCCAATATTGAGCACGTATACCGTGTTCCAACTGCCTTCGCAATTAGAGCCGAAACCCAAGAGGCACGCGCCAACATGTTAAGCCTAGCTGGGTCCCTCATCCAGCAAGATGCCATACTGGAAGAAGTATCGGACCTAGGCTCACTTAGAATCGCAACAGTCCCAGTTGCAATTAATACAATAATGGGTAGAGTAATCGTCACTGAAGAGATGGTAACAGACGAGATAGTCAGGGTCACCAAGGCTGTCCCGGTAAAAGTTCGCCCACATGGGAAAAGCCGACCGGGCGCCCCATACCAGTCATGGGTAGCCCTTTTCGAAAGATCATCGATCCCTCGGCCAGGCTTCCGACTTTTCGACGACTCTGGGATTGCAGTCCGCCACCAGCCTCGTCAAAGCATCAACCAGTGCAAAAGATGCCTACAATTCCATGGCACCAGAGGCTGCTCGCGTGCCCCAGCCTGCTGGAATTGTACTTCAACTATGCATTCCATCGCGGAGTGCAAGGCACACACCAAGTGCCGCAACTGTGGAGGTCCACACAGGTCAGATAGTCGGGACTGTCTAGCTCGTCCAACAAAGTCTGGAATGGCCTCCAGGGAAAACATTCAGACTATAAGGCAGGCTAGCCAACGTGAATTCGCAGCAGTCACTCGGGCCAAAGCAGCTGTCAAACGCGCAGAGGCAGCGATGACAGCAGCCGCAGAAGCGTCAAACACTAACCAGCCAGGTTTCAAATCGACCAACTGTTTTGAAGTTCTCATGTCCGACGCTACAGCGACTGTAGCCGAGGTCGATGAGGCATCAAATCAGCAAAATTCTTTGTGAAGGGCACCCCACGGGTCTCTTCGAGCCTCTCTCCTACTCTAAGCTTTATGTCAATAAACGTAGGTAGAGGGGGCTCAACGCAAAACATTGCGCTTGCCCGAGCATTTGAGCTGGGTATCGACGTGGTTCTTGTCCAAGAACCTCTGTGGAATAAACAAAAGAAAACGACAAAGGATCACCCAGGATATACCTATCATCTGCCTAACGGCGGCGAAAATGCTAGGCCGAGGGCTGTGACCTATACTTGGATAGACGATAAAAAGATATCGGCAACACAGATCTTTCCTTATGTTGTGTCTACAGGAGACTATTGCTGGGTTGAAGTGAACGGCATTACTTTTCTCAACGTCTACAAGGCACCCAATGACTCGACAGCTATACAGCCTCTCATCAACTGGATTCCACCGCCAAACTCCGTCGCTGCTGGGGACTTTAACTCGGTATATTGGGCTTGGCAACCTGGCGTGGAACGTCCTCATGGACAAGGAGAAATGATCGAGAAATGGGCAGACAAACACCATTTGATCTGTCATATTATTGGGGAGCCCACTCACCGAGCTGGAAACACGCTAGATCTAGTTTGGAGTAATGTCGACGGCGCCCGTGCTTGGGTAGATCGTGGTGGATGTGTCACCAGCGATCACTTCCCTATCCGAGGACAAATTCCAGTTCGCAACTCAGTGATGAGACCCGAAAAGGCAAAACTCCGAGTAACAAAGGATAAGCTACCCAGATACGCCAAGGTAATTGCACAGTGGGTCCGACCACCACCAGTTCTTGACACAATTGAGAGGGTTGAAGAGTATGCCAAGGAAATTTGTTTCCATCTCACTAATGCAATCAATGCAGTAGGAACACGACCAAAAGCCCGCTGCGGTAGATCTGCTCCGTGGTGGACCCCAGAGTGCAAAGCAGCCTTTGCTGAGTACAAAAGCGCAATAACTCCCAGTCAACAGGCACTCAGCGCGAAAAAGCTCCGATCAGTTGTGAAGACCTCGAAAAAGGAGTTCAAAACCCAACAGGTCGAATCAATTACTACACCGACTGATGTATTCAAGCTAATGAGAATGGATAACCCTAGACAGGCTAGTATCCCTCCGCCACTGAATCATAATGGGACGTT